GGTTTTAAAACTACTTAGCTGCCTAAGTGTTTATTCCCTTTAGTTATGGTTTCTACAGACTATTGCAGTCATACCTATAGCGTATAGGGACCCATCTTACACAATTGTAAATAATCTAAAATGAACAGTAGCAATGAATAGTCATAGCGGCGTGCTTTCCTGACTGGGAGAAAAAAAATGTATTTAGTCTTTGTAAAGATCATGACACCTATTCACAGTAGATAAACCATGTCACATGTGAAGCAAATGCTATTTTAGAAATAATTTGCCCCCCAACTGCCATTGCCTGCAAGAGTTACTGTGTGACTCTGACCTTCTACACTCTTTTTATATAAGACTCCCATACAGTGTATGGCTATCACAATAATAAACGTCAACTATTTAATGCGTGGTGATGTGTATTATTGACACACTTCATTGAATAATTTCATAACTGTGATTTAAAAAAAAACTCACTTTAAAGCTGTGTACCAATACAGGATCACTTACACTACCGTGCGAAAGTTTAAGGTCTGCTATATAACCATTTACTGGTTTTAATTGTATTTAAACTGCCTTGAAGATAATCATTCCTACCTTCTGTATTATATAGGAACACCACAGGAAAAAAAAAAAAAATCAACTGATCACCTGTCAAAATAGAAACGTTTACTTTTTTCCAAAGCTTGAACATTTTTATTTTACAGACCACACTAAAATTGCAAGTGATCAAAAGATCTGATTTCAGTGTCTCCTGTCTTCCTCTTCCATCAGCTCTGAGAGCTGGCTATCCACCAGGCTGTCCTCATCACTGTCCTGCTCCTCTTTATCCTCTTTTTGAAGGCTTCTGGACAGGAGGAAATCCTTAGGAGTGATGTCATCGTCCTTCGTCCATTTAGATTTCTGTTTCTTTTTCTCTATGAGTTTCTGCTTCCTAATTTCTGCTAGTGTATCCAGCTGCTCTTGTGTTAGTCCTCCTGCAGCAGGACTCTCTGTGAGAGAGTCTCTCGCCCCCTTCTCTCGTTTATAGGCTTCAATCTGTTTATGCAGAGCGTCATGATCGACACCAAACAAAACGGGTCTTTTCTTGTCTCCAGATTCTATGGGCTGCAGTTTGGCTCTTTAAAAGATAAAACCAATTAGAAATTCATTAATTAAAAAAATAATAATAGAACTTTTATTAGAACTAAATTCTTCTTACCCGATATCGCTGATGGATAAATGTAATTTATTTTCATCTGGACCAAAATCTGCTATCTTGAGAAGGTTTTCAATCTGATTAAGGATCAGACAATAACACACATAAATATTAGCAATACCATCTACAAAACTCATGCACTGCTAATATATTAATTTGAATTATTTGTATTAATTTTAATGTGTAATGTTACCTCGGTGATAGCAGCATATTGTTTATCTCTGATAAAAATCACAGGAGGAACACTACCAAGGATTTGGTGAGAGATGAGAAGATGCCTGAAAAAAAATATTAAAAACCAAATTATTACATTACTTTCAACTTGTTAAAACTAAAATAAAATAAACTAGGAAAAAGACATACCGTATGTGAGGAGCACATTTGTCTAAAGCCTGCTGAATATGGCTGTCTTGCTCTACCGACAGACTTGTCTTCCAGTATATTCGACATGCGGAGAAATCGGATGGTAGTGAAACCTTACATGGACAAGGAGACATAGTTTAGGGCAGAACTGAAAACAACATTTTTGAAGAAATTAAACGTGTAAATATTTAAAGACAAATTTAAAATCTGTCATTTGAAAAAATTCTTTCCCTTCAATGGAAATCAAGGTTAACTGTTGTATTCTTAAGTATATTAAGTATCTGTTGTATTCCAAAAGAAAGTCATACAGGTTTAAAATGACATGAAGGTGAGTAAATGGTGCAAGTTCGTTCATTTTGGTATAAATTATCCATTTAATTATTGAACGTATGTGGTATAATTAAAGTGATTAAAAAAAATCCTGTCATCAATTACTCACCCTCAAGTTATTCCAAACCTGTATGAATTTCTTTGTTCTGCTGAAAACAAACGAAGATATTTTGAAGAATGTCAGTAATCAAACAGTTATGGCACCATTGAATTCAATAAAATACTACTGAATTCCAAAAAATACTATTTTTTAGTCAATGGTGCCAAATACTGTTTGGTTACCCATATTCTTCAAAGTTTCTTATTTTGTGTTCAACAGAAGAAACACATAGAGGTTTGGAACCACTTGAGGTTGAGTAAATGATGACAGAATGTTCATTTCACTATCCTTTTAATGATGGCACGGAGGTTAGACGGAAGAACACATCCTACTTTGGAAATCTGTACATTGTAGGCACTGATCTCGGAGTTGACCTCATAGGAGCTCAGTAAGTCTGTCACTGCTTTGTAGATGATGTTGTTCAGAGTCCTGACACGAACACTGTCCTCTTTATTTTGCTTGGATGGTTTCAGAAAGCCAGACTGAAGCGCTGTGGACTGGGTGAGCAAAATATGCAAAAGACAAGTATGGTATTGTAAGAGATGTGTACGGTCATTCTGCTTAAAGAGTAAACACACTAACGCAGATTTATTGTTAACTTTTAATATGTTTAAAGTATACAAATACTGAAAACGAAAATAATGAAGTAATAGTGAAGTAATTGAAAAAAATAGATAGACAGAGAGAAAGACAGACAGACAGACAGAGAGATAGATAGATAGATAGATAGATAGATAGATAGATAGATAGATAGATAGATAGATAGATAGATAGATAGAATTCTTACCTGCACAGGAGATTCATACCACTGTTTTCTCCTGTAAAGAATGATCATGTGACGTTAACTCATGCAACTTTATAGTAAGAATTGGCGTGACTTTTTTATTTTGCATATCAATTATACAAAACAGCAACTCACTTCTTTTTGGTCAGCATCTTCATCAATTTGAATTTACTGCCTCCAGACAGACGGGTTGAACTATGAATGCTTCTTTCTTTAAGCATAACAGACCAGGACGAGCGCTGTGTCTCGTGTCGTGCTGTCAGTTTGCAGAACATGCTTGTTAGTGAGGTATATCGACTTAATGTGCATTCTTTATAGCAAAGAACTCTCTTGACAGCCAGCATGATCACTAGCTTGGTTTATCCCATAGGTTTATCCTTGTCCTAATGCAGCATCGACTAACTTATATTTGTCTGAGGAGTCGATTCCGATTGACGAGTCTGACAGGTTCTTCTTCGCTTTCGATGGCGGTTGGTAACCAGCTTTTTGGTGCATTACCGCCATCATCTGGACTGGAGTGTGGATCAATCATCAATAGGGATCAAGGGGTCAACCTACACACTTCCAATTAAAAGATTAACCCAGTTATCTACAAAAAAAAAAAAAAAAAAAAAAAAAATTTCACCAGATCCTCTTTGCATCATTCCATGTAAATGTAGTGTCATCTGGGACATTCCTCATTTGTGGTGTCAAGTGGTGTCCCTCTACTTTACAACAGTTGAAATGAACTTTAAATACCAATAATTATAAAATGTTGTATTTTTTTGTATTCTGTAGGATAAACACAATTTGTGCACAATTAATAGATAATTTTTAGTTTTAAAAATACATATTTAATTGAGTTTAAGAGACTGCATTTTTAACAAAATATGTATGTTCCCACAATATCTCAGAGAGATATCATGGAATTTAATTACAACAATATAACATTTTTAACAAAAAAAGTGGTTATATTATGAATATAGTTTTTATTTAACATGTAAATCCAAATTCATGTCTGTGGTGTTAAAGAAAAGGGGGAAGTCTGAAAGAAAAGGGGGAAGTCTGTTTGGACTACTTCCTGTGTGTAAAGGTCATTGCAGGTGCTGGTTGATCTGAGGGGTGCATGGTGAGTACATTTTTTCTGATTAATTTTCTTAAAGTTAGCTAAATTCCTGACAATTTCATGTGTCACACTTTATTAGTGTCTGTGGTGTTATGTTGATAACTTGCAGATTTTACATATTTTAATAAAAAAAATTATAAATGCATACTTACTAATATTTCTAGAGTGTCCTCTGATCTTGAAATCATCATGATGGCAGCCTCCATTTTAGAAAAGTCTGGATTTAGGCTAATTTGTCTGTGGTGTTACTGCCAATTTGAAGGTGCATCAGTGCCCGCCTATTTTGCACATTGGCGATTTTGCACCGGCCTTGGTTCTGGAGTTTTTAAGATTTAAGATGAAGTCTTTGTTTGCGAGTTATATATATTTTTTTACAGTTTATGGTTATAGTCTATGCCATGAACCAAGTCAACAAGCTACGAGGTGAAACAACATCACAAACATTGATTTGAAGCGAATATTTATATTTAAATCGGTGATGAGGTGGAGATTTCTCTGCAGAATCATGGGTAATGTAGTGCGTCACCACCATGAATTCCATTGTTGATGAATAGGATTATTTAAATTTTAAAAAAAGTTTAAATAATGTAGACTGATGGCTAAAAAAAAAAGAAGAAAAAAAAGCATACCACTGATTAACAATCTTATTGCTTATTGTCTTCCTTAAAGGTTTATAATTCCCCCAAGGAAAAAAATTAATGGGATTTTTACTTCCATAACCCAACCGTTATGGTTCCCACAATAGTTTCTCATAGGTGTTTATGTTTTTCAAATATGAATTTTGAAGCATGTGTTTTTAATAATTTAAGTATCCGTTTACAAACTATAATGGTTATAATGGCAGATTCCTCTACATTTACATCTTGTGATATGTATATTTTTTATAAAGTGACTTTTTAGCTTTTAGCTTTTTTAGCTTTAGCTTTAACTTACATTTTCTTTTTTAGATAATAAATAAAAAAAACAGTATATGTCATGACTATGTAATGTCATGTGTAGCAATAATTGATAAACTGATTACATAAAATACCAAAATAAATGATATATATATATAATTTATAAAATATGCAAATTAATGACATTAGGAAAATCCTACGTGTTAAATACCAAAGAATTTTATGTTTAGTAAACCACACATCTGTAATATTTAGTCACGTTTATTCCAAGAGGCAAATACAACTGCAAATTTTAAATAGGACACGGAGGCACTTGTCTTTTTTTCACATGTCTGAAATGATTACAGTGTATTATATGAAAGAGAAAAAACATGAAAACACCGTAAAATGTTCCTTTTGGTGATACAGTTATGAATTGCTGCCTAATTTGCCAGTTAGTAGTAATAATTAGCCAAGCCTTCATTATCTTTACGGTTCTAATATAAAACGTTAAATGCAGAACTATATCACTAGACATCCCCAAATGTATAGTACAAGTGTCCAGAAAAGTAGGATTTTAATATAAATGGGAAACTGGGTCTTTTCTTTCTTGCAATAAAGATATGTGATAAAAGAAACTTTTAAACATCATCATCATCATCATCATATGAACTATATACAACAAAAATACAAAACTGTAGAGTCTTTCAGCATTGCTGTAGGTTCCCCTTTTTCCATAGACTAATGCCAAGAGGCAAACCATCTTATAAATGTGTAAATCAAGTAACTTTAAATAAACAGTTTGCAATGGTTTACGTCCTAGTGTGAACATGCGGAATACAAACACAATTGATCAAACAAACATGTTAGCTATTTTTTACAGAGGCCGTACCTGTGGAATGAAGAGGTCATGTTCCATTTCACTCACATCCTCTTTTTTAATAGTTACCTCATGGATGAAGAGGTCATGCCCACTTCATTCACGTCCTCGACCTCTTTTTTAATATTCACCTCTTGGATGAAGAGGTCATGTTTAATTTCATTCACGTCCTCTGTTTTAACAGTTACCTCTGGAACAAGGCTGTCATGGTTCACCATTTCATCTTTTTTTTTAGCAGGCTTTGCCTCCGGAATGAAGAGGTTGTGCTTCACCTTGTTCACTTCAATCATTTTGAACCCGAGACGTACGCAAACCCTCTTCTTCTGAATTGCTTTCAAGCACTTGGTGAGCTTGCTGTTGAAGTGAGCCTTTACATCAGCCTTGTTTATCCACAAACGGGAAGCGAGCAGTTCGATTTCGGTCTTCGTCACGTATGGCTTTCTGTGGAAGTACTGTGAAAGGAAGTCTTTTCTGTCCTCGAAAGATGTCCTCTCCATCCCCATTGGTTCCAAGACGAGTTCAACTGGAGTTTCAGGGACTTCTACCTTTGGAGCTTTCGAGTTCCTTTTTCTGTTCTTCGGAGTGGTTATTTCTCTCTTTGGCTTGGCAATTTCAACACCCCCCTGAACAGCCGTGTCTGAAGAACTGGCCATCTGAACAGAACTACATAAATCACCATCAAGGTGTTCGGCTGTATCTGGGTTCAGCTTCCTCTCTGCTTCCTTGACCGCTTTGGGAGCACAGCGACACCGTTGCACATGAATGGAGATGGTTTTCGGTGTCGATTTTTCGGCATACACCCCAAAACAATAAATGCATTTGTAAGCAGGTGTTTTTAGTATGGCATGAATGGTGGGAACGATGTGGTGTTTTGTTTGAAGATGGAGCTCGTAGTCTTCAGAGTTCTGGAGCTTTACTTGACAAAAAGGGCAAGCGGTAGGTGGCACCTTCAACGCGGTTGCGTATTCGGCCTTGTCTGGATACATTTTTATGAATAGCTTGTCCTGAGCGCTGGTGACCAGGGCGAGGTTAAGCTCGCGGTTGTCAAGAAGATCTTTGGGCACATCTGTGTTCAGATTGAAAGTGCTGAACATAAGATTGCCTTTGTCGTCACAGTCGAGATTAAACTGTTCTTTTATGAAATGGCGGTTTTCCTTGATTTTCAGACTGTGATCTTTATTGGTGTGCTCCATGATCTGCTTGAAGGAGTAGAACATCTGAGGGCAGAACAGACACTTCAAGCCATGCAACAAATGCTGGAAAATCCCCTGTTCTGTCAGTAAAATCTTGCACTTTAGGCACTTGACCGTGTGTTGATCATGTTTCTTCAAAAACGGCGCGATTACCGCCAGCTCATTTGGCGTCGAATTTCTATTTATCGCCCTCTGAACTGTAGGCATGAGACCAGCAGGCACCACCGCTGCATTTGAAGGCTGGCTGATCTGGTTTTGCGTCAATACCATTTGAGCGGGACCGCCATGGACCGGAACGGTGACTTGAACAGGTGCTAGAGTGTATGTTGGCACACCATTGACGTTGTTTCCTGTGGGAATGAGACGCACAGACTGCGAGGCTACGAGAGGAGGTCTGGGAACTGACTGATTCAGCTGAAGACCTTGCGTATAAAGAAATGGTGAACGAACACCCATTTCGCCCGGGAGGTTGACCTGGATGCCAGGCGGAAGAAGAACCTGCTGTGCCTGCTGGGTTTGTGGTAGCCTGGGAATGGACATAGTGATGGGTACCGTGTTGGGTGCACTTTGCGGCATGTTTGGCATCACCATATTACCTGGAGAGGTAGGCAGGACTTGCGGCATCCCGCCGGGGGACTGCTGAGGCTGGGCATTCTGAAGTGCAGCCAAAGACGTGCCCGACAGCAAAGCTTGCGTTTGTGGGGACAGAAACATCTGTCCTGCACCAGGAGAGCAAAACAAAGCGTTACTTGGGCCAGCCAGAAGAACCGTACCGTTTCCATTTGTATGTTGCACCTGCTGAGGCATGTAATTCGGTCTTGCAAGTAACGTGACCTGCTGCATCGCTTTTGGAGCGAGGCTCAGCAGATTCTGCAATCCGGTCATTTGATTCATGCCGTCTTTTTCGATTATGCAAGGCATTATTTGCCAGTGCAGGTCCTTGTGCTTCTCTGAACTTAAAATGTGATAAAGTAAATGTTCAATGGTCTCTGCTGGCAGTTTGCACACTTTGCAGTGATATTTCATTGGTGTGCCATCCCGTATCTGCACACCGCCAGACTTTTGGGTATTGTCCGACCCGAGCCCGAAGAAGCGATCCAGCATAGTAGCATAGTGGTTTACCAAGACGTGTTTCTTCATCACGTATAGTAAAGAGTCATGATAGCCGCAGGTTGAACACGTGTATCTGTCATCGGCGGCATCTGCTGAGACTGTAACTGACACAGTTTTCGGTGCGTGAGCCAAAGTATGGCTGGGGTTGCTTTGGAGAGATATACGATGGGCTTTTGATGGCAGCATGTGGAAAAACTGAATGTGTTGCTCTGTGACTTTCGGAGAGCTGACAAATGGGCAGTAGGGGCACATTAACAAACAGGCCACGTTCAGATCTTTACAGTGATAGCGATGGATGTGACTTCTGAACATGGGTACTGACCGGCTGGAGTACCAACACAGACTGCAGCACAGAGCTTGGCTCCGGTATGGATACTGAGGGACAAATAATATCATGATTACTATATCTGGAAATTATGTTTATCAAATCCCCAATTCGTCCCATTCAAACTGAAAAAGTAAAATTGCTACCTTAAATTATTTATTCAAATAAAAGTGGTGCCAAAAGTATTTAAAGAGATCATCACAAACAAAACATTCTTTACAGTACATAACAAATGTTAATGCAAATCACCTTTTTTTTCTTTTTTCCAACATGACCATCAGTGAAATCATCCCATTCCGTGTTGTCAAAACTTGCTTCACCAGCATCAAAACATTTATATGTCTGTCGGAAACAAAGAAAATTTCATTAACAGGCATAATGATATTCGTTAAAGAAACACTGATGTTGTATAAAAAAATAAAGACAACATGCAAAAAATAAAATAGTTTAGGATGCAACGTGAATTTAGGTAACTGATAGTATAAAAGACAGATAATTCATTTTTAAAAAGGAGTCTTGAGAGTGATTCGGGACCAATCCCGGGAGGCCGGGTTGACCCCGTTGCTATGTATGACACAATCTTTTGAAGACTGTGATCGGTTGGTTGTCCAAGAAGGAAAAAAAGAGCCATTTTAAGAATAGAGTTTACTCACACACACGCACATTATATTTATCTATATAAATCCTTTTTTAACCTTGCTGTTAATTTTCTAAGGTATTTGATTGGCTTAGAATGATTGGCTTGTTCCACTCTTTCCAATTACACTGATTGCTGGCATGTCTATTTAAGTGGTGGTTTGAATGTTGGTTTTAATATAGCAAACATGGATTAAAAAACAAGAAAGACGAGAAAGCCTGACTGGACAGAAGAACCGTGTTTACTGTCACACTAGGCCATCATTAAAGGAAAATTTGGGCCGGGTCACACAGCACGGAGCAAGAAGCAGACGAGCTTATAGCTCAAATGATTAACGGTTCATTCCCCTGCTTGTAAATGCTGTAATTGTTTGTGTGATCACTGCTTACAGACGGTTGTGACAGACCCAAATCACTGCTGCTTTATTGCATTTTCCCATTTGCCAAATATCTTAATGTAGTGATTACTTTCATTTCTGGCATTATGGCATCCCTGCACTGTGTCTGAGATATTATGATTCCTGCATGATCTCATATAGCGTCTTATTAACTCACTGTCATCCATTGTCTGCAACACATTTCTTCTCCCTCTTCATCATTCTGCCATTTTCTCCTCTGCTAAAGAAACTCCTAAAAGTCCTCATCCATACTCCTAACAATTTTGACCTTAAGACCTCTTTTAAGGGTTAAGATGCTTTCTGAATTACTTTTTTCTTTACTAGGATTTTTTCTTTAATTGTAAGAGTGAACGCCCACATTTCTAAGAATTTTCTTAGAATTTTGACATTAGGAGCTAGACTTTGCATTAAGATTCTTTATGAATACGGGCCCAGACACTCTGGTAATTTATGCCAGACTTCTCCAATCAGTTTTCTCCATTAGCCGCTTTAATCGCTTTCCATCGACTGCAAGCTCACATTCAGATCTGCCTCTATCCAATCAACAACTGATGGATAGAATCACAGTCCCCGTCCAACAATTGTTTTCTTTTTCAATAATCCATTTCAATACGGAAGAAATTGGCTGCTTCTTCCGTTACATTTCAGCTTTAATAATAAATTTGGAAAATTAGAAATGGTCAGTTTTTGTCTATATCCTTGTTTTATCTTTGTAATTTGTAAGGCTCTTTGAAATAACTAAATGATTTTATGTTGAAATGAGTGTCTGAATTTAAATGCAGTCAAGACCTAGAATTACTTCATATAGTAGTCCAGTTAATCAACATCTAAATCCTTGAGTCAATAAAAATCATGCATTCAACAGATCATTGGAATAAACAGAACATCAACTACAATAACCTAACTTACCTCCATTAAATCTTGGCACTGCTGCTTCCCGATGTCACACAAAATACGTTTGACGCGTTTCCTTGGTCGTCTGAGTTTTGTGAGGTTCTTCACTGGAATTTGATACATTTTGCTGATCCTGTAAATGAAAACACAAATAACACGAAATGTTTCTGGACAGCCTGCCAGTGTCAAATCAATGAATTAGCCTAAGTTACTCTTTCAAACGCCAAATTTAATCTGTTTTTTTTTTTTGCGTCAATCTAATGCATATTAAAGAAATATCTAAATTAACCTCCTCAATTATTGAGGCCTATAACATAGTTATAATAAAGATAACTAGTTGTTGTAACCATGTACCAAGGTCTGTTTTTTTTTTTTTTTTTTTAACCAGTCTCGGACATGTCATTAAAATAGTTTGACCTAATCGTGCCTTTTAAGTAGTACGGAACATGTCACATAATTACACATGCCATTCATAATCCGAACTGTATTTTAGGGTCTGTCATAAACCTGTGTCTACCTTTAATATTCTGCCACAGAGCAGCGATTGAGTGGATGGATGTCTGCGTGCGTGCGTCCGTTTTCTTCCGGCGTCACTGGAAGGCGCGCAGTATGGAATCGCCTACTTCATCATATGAAGCAACCAGGATGCGCTCAATCCGCGTTCCTTACTGCACTGAAGATCGTCTGGTGAAATATGAACCGAGCGCAGGATTAGCCCACTTTTGATTATATCTCACTAAAACATCACCCCACTCCTGCTGAAAAACATGGCGCACAGGAAGACGGGAAGTGACGTTTTCTGATTTACATATTGCATAGTGCAGAACCACCAATGGGAGAAAGGTGGGCTGATCTTACAAAGTTGATCAATGTAATGGCCATTAGTTATTAGAATTAACCATAGGACCATGGCTGTGGTCTTCACCTGTGAGTGATGTTGGTACACCTGTGGTACATCACCTTCAGAGATGCTTTTATGGGGAGATGGATTGATGGATTCAAGTATGACATTATGATGAATGATGAGAAGGAAATGGGAGTTTTGCTTGCTGTCTGCAATATGCATGTAGCTATAGGTGGTTTGTTGCATCAGTGCTAATGTCACAAGTATATTTTAAAATTTTTCATATGTGCCTGGAACATATGGCAGTTACTAAAGTAGCCCAACTGGGATAATGTTTTATGGGTCTCTCCACTGGGCCCAGTTAATGCATGATACAAGGACCTAAATGGGCCCCCCTGTGGTCACATGGCCTTGGACATTCCTTTAGTTTGAGAGTAAATTTAAAAACACAGAAACTTCATAATGTAGGCTATGCTAAAAAAGTACTTTCACTGTTGTGAGTCTTGCTGAATACAATGGAAGTCAATGGCAAACGTCAACTGTTCTTCAAAATATCTTCTTTTGTGTTCGGCAGAAGAAATAAATTCATACAGGTTTGGAACAACTTGAGTGAGTAAATGACACATTTTTTGGGGTGTATATAATTATTAAATTCTAAAATCATTTACTCACCCTGAAGTCGTTCCAAACCTTTATGACTTTCTTTATTCTGTGGAGCATGAAGATGAGAAATGTGTTCAGTAGAAGAAAAGAAAGGGGTAACGTTTTGGAAAGACAGAGTAGGTAAGTAATGTCAGACTTTTCATAACTATCCCTTTTTCATTTAACAGAGTTGTTTCAATTAAATAAAAAGTATTGTCAGCTTTACTTGACAAATGTTGTTCTGTCAATGTGAAACGGCCAAACTGATAAACATAATGCAGGAAGACCCTTTATATGCACCAGTATTGATGAGAAACTGAAGACCAAGATCAAGATGATTATGAGTCAGCAAGCATGAAAGATTCAATATTTTTCACAGCTTATATTGATTGTATTTTTCATGGAAGTTTTTTGAATCCTGGAAAATTGGTGTATGTGATGCTTGTGGGGACCCTGTGTTGTCAGCAGCTGCTGTCAACCTGTAGCTCTCGCCTCGGAAAGCTAAGGTTTCTCCTGAAAATGTGTTAGTAAGGCCAGCAGGGGGAGCTCATCCTGTGCTCTCTGTGTGGGTCCCAGAGCCCCGGCAATGATAATGCTATACTGTAAAAAGATACATTTGAGATGCTGTGAAACACTGATTTTTATATAGTTGTATACATATTTGTTTACTTAATAATTAACTCAAATGCAGTATGGACACACAGGCCTCTCTAATTTGATCATGTTGATTTGCAAAATTTCAAAGACATTCAGACTTTCTCCTCCAAAAATGATATTTGCCGCTTGTTCCATTTTCTGAATTGAAATGAGCTAATGCAACACAATTTTTGAACAAACTTTCTTTTGTTCGGAGGAATCCACTGTATAGAAATCTGCTGTGTGTTTTCTTAATAAGAAGTTGCTTATATAATTACTTTTAAGAAACTGTGTGCAAAAAAACATGTTGTGTGACAATAGCAATTAACTGTTAGAGATTCAATAGTGTTAGTTTAACATGTAATTTGAATTTATTGGGATTTAATAAATGTATTGTGTTTATTAGTATTTGAGAAGGCTTTACAGTTTATTTAATTGTAAAATTCATTTTCAATGCATTTTTAATGGCAATTCTTAAAGCATGTAACATTACAATAAAAATAAACATAAATTAAAAAACACTGACCTGTAATACATGACTGCTGCAGATTCATTTCAGTATTGATAGTGTTGCCATTAAAATGTATGAATTCGAGTCACAAACCATATATTTAAGTATAACTCATTTAAGTATGATTATTCATATCAAGAAATGATTGGACAAACATTTTGTGGTCCAACATATACAAGTAAATACATTTAGACCACTTAACTTAGTGATTGCTATCAGGAGGTGAAGAGACTTTCAACCAATAAAAACTGCTTCTAGAGAAAATTGCCTACCCTGCCTTTAGCACAGTTTGCCCAAATAAAATAAATTATTGTTTACTCATGTTGTTTCAAATCTGTATGATTTTATTTCCTCTGAACATATTTTTTTTTTTTTTCAGAATTTAATGACCAATGGTCACCAAAACGTTTGGTCACCAGAAGAAAGAAAATCATACAGGTTTGGAAAGACATAAAGGTGAGTCCAATATGACACATTCTTTTTACTTTTATGGTGAACTAAAAAGAAAAAAAAAGAAAACATTTTTGATAATGTATAACAAAAAAAGATCCTTTTAACATAGAATCTATAATCTTTAAAGTTATCAGTAAAAACTTGCAAGACATGCAAGTATAGCACGCATGTGACATGCAAAAGTAGTCATTTGTAACGTGTAGTGCAGAGTATAGCATCAGAAGGTTTATCTCTTACAAAATGACAACAATTCCATCTTCCTCCATTGCCCCCTGGGGCAACAGTAAATGACGACTCAGATCAACATGCCACGTGTTGAGAATGTCATGGGTACTGCAGCTTTCCTGTCTGATGGCCGGGTTCAAGCCATAATGCTGCTTGGCCCTCAGATTCCTGTGCAGAGGGAGGCTGTGGTCAGAGTGAGCTGTGTAGGTGAGGCAAGGCTGAGAGTGATAGGACGCTGCCGAAATAAGCGAGTTGGGCTGCCTGGCAGAAACTTGAGGCCGGTAGGAAGTATTACCATGTGGTTGAGAAGACAAAGAGGCGATCGAAGCACAAAACTGCCGGGACAGGTGTTTGATAGAGCTCTCGACAATCACATCTGTATCCTCTTCGCTCTCGGGGCCGGTGCCTAAACCATAAGCTTTCATTATCATAGGCAGCCCTGGGTAGCTTACAGAGTCAGAACTATCAAAATAGTGTCCCGAGCTTGAGAAAATGCAGCTTTTTCGCCTTATGTTGTTATGCTGGTTTGCAGGTTTCACTGTGATGATGAGGTTGTGGCTGTTGGCAATCATCATGTCGGTTACCTGATCCAAAGTCTTCCCCATAACACTTATACCATTCACTTCCAGGACCTGGTCATTAATGGCTAGCAGTCCCGTGCAAGCCGCCAGGCCACCGGGCACTATGCGGGAGATAAAGATGCCTGGAACCTTTTCCAGACCGTAAGAAGTAACCCTGACTGTAGTACCATCACGAATATAAAAGCCCAGAGGTCTGTCCGAGCCCTGGCGATACAGACGCACTCTTCGGTGGCATTCTGGTATGATGTCCACGTCGATGATGGAAGAAACAGGGCGGAAGTTCTGTGGCATGCTGATCTGAAATGGTAGTTTTCTGTGGCTGACAGGTTTCTTTCGCTTTGTCGCATCATCAGCACCTGCGTTATCCTGATCAGCTTCCTCTGTAAAGAAGGAAGTGAGGGAAGTTAGTTGAGCAAAGTTCTTTAATTATTAAATCAATCTGATTGTATCAAAACTTTCTGATCACAGTTTTAATTGTGAAAAATGAATACTATAAATATGTGGAACATTTGGAAAATGGAAAATATGTAGTTTCTATTATATTATATCATTTTTCTCCACTCGCTATACTATAATGTTATATTTAAATTTTTTTTTTTATTTAAATCTATTTTTGCTTTTCTATTATGGTAATTAAAAAAATATTTCATTATTGTAATCAAAAATTGTATTAGTTTATTTTTGACTCGAGTTTAATCATTTAACTGCTAGTAATTATTTTTATTTTAGCATAAAACACTATTTAATATGAAGGACCAAGTCAGTCCAATTTAAATATAAATACAATTATTTAAACAAACAAACAAATGTCCAGATAAACATCATTGAATAATCTCCCTATAAGAAAAATATCCTTAATTAATCTTATAAATGTACCACTTATTTCATATTTTATCTCTGATTATTTATTCATTTCTGAATTTCGCAATTTATTAATGAATTCTTCTTACTTTCTCTTTGTTTCTGTTTATTCTTACATTAATGTATTACCATAGTTATTTCCAAATACTGACTAACTAACTAACTAAAAACTCTGAAGTGGTCACATGAACTAGGACGGAAAGCAAAAAGATAATCTGGCAAAACAAACACACCACATGGGAATACAAAGCAATTATACTCAAGTACATGATTCCCAACTAGATAAGTTCCTTCCTTTTCTATCCCTCCTTCAAGAAGATTTTAGAAGAAAACGAAATAAAATGATCTTAAGTTCTTCTAAATCTACTATTAAATCTATTATTTATCTACATACAGAAAATAAATCTTTCATAAGAACTAAAAAATGTATTTATTGCTACAGTATATGTCTGAAAAATAGTGCCCTATGTTACGACATTTTTGTTGTGAGGTGAGATGAATGGAACAGAAAATTAAAAGGGGTGGTGATGACGCAGTGGATAAGACACATGTCTTTGGTGTGAGAGACCCGGGTTCGAATCCACTGTGAGATACCAATGTGTCCCTGAGCAAGACACTTAACCCCTAGTTGCTCCAGAGGCGTGTGACCTCTGACATATATAGCAAATGTAAGTCGCTTTGGATAAAAGCGTCAGCTAAATGAATAACTGTAAATGTAAAATTAAGGAAATTAGAGATATGCATGAGTTTCTACCCTTCCTGTAGCTTACCTTGTAGCTGAATGAAGATACGCAGTAAAAATTGTGTGGAGGTCACAGCTTTGCAAAAGTTGACATCATTATTGATAGGCAACAACTCTCCTTGAACATCCGCATAGAAAATAAGGACATCCACTTGACACAGGTGATGTAAATGCACAATGAGCCTATGGAAGTCTTTATACCTGCCAGGCTCACAACGATCCAGGGAAAACCTCCTGAATTCTGCACCAAACTGTAGAGAAAAAGCACATGAATGAAATTGCACGAAAATGGTTACTGAACATATAATATCAGTGTTTCTCTTTTATGTTCTCCTGGACAAAATTGGCCAACAATATTCAATCAGCTGAAACAATGGACATATTTTAGAAGCCGTTTCTGGATATTGTGTAGGTTTTAATTGTTTAAGTCTTTGTTTACAAAGGTACTTCCCCTCAGACTAATAATACTGAAACAATAGCGGCAAGAACCATTATAAGGACCATTTAAAATCTGAGTAATTCCAAGATTAAAGAAATAGAATAAATAATGCTAAAAACCGAGAAAATACATTGCAATTTAATAGACATATACATGCTAGAGATCAGTTTTACTAAAAAAGTATTTGCCAACTTACTTTACTTTTCACCTCGAGGACAGAAACGCTGCGCAGAGACTGAGACTTTCGAAGTGCCCGGTTCATGTTGTCCGATGAGCGGAAACTACCCCACTATTCGCAAACCACTCGGGTTTTGTTTCTATGCTCAGCATGACAAAATAGAGTTAGCCTACGTGTTCGCATCATCACTGGAAACGCGGAAAGCAGGACGGATGTCTTGGCAAAAGACGGGACAACACGAAACAACGGCATTACTGCCACTTCTATTTTTCTAGTTCTCTACGAATTTTGTGAATAATAATAAAAAATAAATAAATAAATAAATAAAAATGCATAGCCCATTTGTTTTTAAATACACTTTTATATAGGCCTATACATACATACATATATATATATATATATATACCCTAAGATGAAATAACTGCAGATAAAAGGAACAAGAAAATATCATCTGAAAATAAAAAGAATGAAAAGACACCATTACAGTTACAAAAGTTTATTTTTGAATTCTTTCAAAGCATCAGGATAATTTGTTTTTTAATGATCACAGTTGTGACAGATTTTGTTGGAGGGAGATAATAATTCAACTATTTATAATAAGCTGTTCTATTTAACTAAAAACCTAATTAACATGTAACATTTAAAAGGAGGCTCATATGCACATACACACAAAATCACAAAACAATCACATCTACTATACATTGTACTAACCAGTTTTTAAAATGTGATGATTACCATCTCTATAGTATTTTTTGTTCTACTGGTTAAAAACAAAGAAGAGACAGATGGCTCTGTGATCTGGCACTATGCCTTAACTTCGTCAGGGAGCTGGCCTCCAGTTAGAGCGGCCAAGGCATTGGTCACCATCCTCTCCACCATGATCTGCGACGTCTCCATGGTGTGGGTTCCGAAATGAGGGAGGACGATGACATTTGGGAAGGACAGCAGGGGATGATCCCTGTACAAAACAGAGAATCATATCATTATTCTACAACAGTGATGTGTTTAATGGAGGGGAAAAAAAAACATTTAGGGCTGCAATTTTACAATCCTAAATATTTGGACTTGCGTAAGTGCAATTAGATGAAAGTGTATGAAGCAAACCTGGGCAGTGGTTCAGGATACGTGACATCTAAAGCAGCAGCTCGTATCATTTTCTTCTGGAGAGCATCCACTAACGCATCTTGGTCTACAACCAAACCTGTGACAAAAAAGTAGTTCTCAAACATACTTATTTCCTTTAATGGGATTGTTTAGTTTCAGCCTATTACATTACCTCTGCTGATGTTGATAAGGGTGCTATTGGGTTTCATCATGGCAAACTCTTTGGCACCAATCAGTTTGTGCGTTTGAGGGGACAGATTGACCACCACCATGACAAAGTCTGACCTCTGTAGCAGCTCCTTCATGCTTGCACAATACATGGCCCCAACTGCTTTTTCTTCACTCTCAGGCCTGAACATAAAACACGGTGAAATTAAATATAACAAGGCAGGGGAGCAAAACTCAAATTCTGGAGGGACATAGACCTAAAGATTTTAGCTAAAACCCTAATAAATAACCCTAGTTGTAGAAGGAGTTCTTTCATGACAACTCTCTGACGATTTTAAGCATGCTGATGGATATGACATTGTTAATGTACTTGGCGGAATAGATCTGTTCTCAATGCCAGCAGGAAATGACTTGAGCAAGGGACCGAACCCCCAATCACTGGCTGCCCACTGCTCCGGGTGTGTGTGTCCATTGCTCTCTACTCCTAATGTGTGTACACTAACTTGGCAGAGGACAAATTCCGAGTATGAGTTACCATACTTGGCCTTCACATGACACTTAAATCAGTGTATTTTAAATACTTGAAAACAATGATTATCCACTTCATTTTCAAATGGACAGAAAACAGAAAGAAAATGTGTTTACAAATTATTGAAGCAGGTAAAAAATTGTTTAGTGACAGAAAGAATTATTTCAAAGTCCAACAGATTCACCTTTGATTCCTATTGTGGTAAAGGATTTTCATCTCAAACCCTTGAGCTCTCTTGGCAATTTTGTAACCTATTCTTCCCATGCCGATGATGCCCAGGGTGGCCCTGCTAACATCAGTGCCCAGAGACGACTCTGACAAACCATCAAACTCCCGGAACTTGGAAAAATTGTGCCCTGAAGAGAAAATGAAAATCACAATGGACTCAGGGAACAATATGATAAACCCTGAAGAAAGTAACGTTATAGAACGGAAACTGCACTTCATACCCTCAACAATCTTTCTAGCAGATGCCAACATCAAACAAATGCCAATATCTGCAGTGGCATTATCCACCACATGAGGAGTGTTGGAAACTTTGATTCCAAAGCTATTTATCAGAGGAATATCAAGGTGGTCAACTCCTACCCCACCATTAACGACAGCTTTGAGGTTGGGCAAAGACTGCAACAGGTTTTGGTCAACTTTAATAGCTCCACCCCACACAAACAGTGCCTGGATTTTAGCGGCGAAGTCTTCTTTCCTCTGTACAAACCTCTCAAATGTGATAATAGTAAAGTGTTTCTCGATAAAAGGTTCAAAACACTTGTAGATGCCTCCTGGTGCTCCAAGTGTGGTGGCTAATATGCACGGTTTATCCATAACCTGTGAGAAAATTAACCAGCATTTGTATATGCGCTATAACACGTCAACAAAATAATAGACGAACGCATTCCTCTTTAAATGTCTTGTATGAAATATTCTTGCTCACCACTTGTGAAAGTCGATCCAGTCTGAATGTCCCCTGAACGATTCTGATCGTCAACTGCAACATTGAATTTTGTATTCCAGGCATGGTTAATCAAGTACCGATAAAGACCAAAGGTGGTTTTCTGTAAATCATTATTAAGTACCTCCTCTCAGTCTAAAAAAATAAACGACAGTCAAAAATCTACTTAATAATGTTTCCAAATCTTCTTTCTTGTTTCATCGGAGGTTTTAATAGAACGCTAATGCTAGTCCCTCAAATAACCAGAAGAGGGCGTTAGAAGCCAATATAACCAAATAACGTATTATTCAGTCGTGGCTTGTGGCCCATTTCTGTCACAAGATTAAGTTCATATGTAGTTGTTTGATGGACATTTGTTTCGTTCGTTTACGTGTATACCATCTTATTTCCAGATTTTCTATTAATTATAGCCTACAATTTGGTTTGGCCACAAACACTGAGTAGTCTAATGAAGGACTCCTGCCTTGCTTTGTCAACATTGGTATTTTGGTTTATAGTTCATTGTTGTAGGCTATGTTTCATAGTAGATTGATTAATAAGTATAGTTTTAAAACCTTTTAGCAATGATAGCCTATATTGTGCTGATGGTGAGCCAAGCATGTGAGGGGTGAATTTGATAAAAAGATTCAGATTTTAAGGCCATAAATTATATGTTGAAGGTTTTGACGGTACCGAGGGCCATTGCATTAATTCCAGAACAGTTAGTAGGCTATTAATGGCAGGCAGCAACAGAGTTCCAGCTTTCAAGTGGCCTCCATCTGTTGAAAAATCCATGTGGTTCAGCTTTATAAACAACCGAATATTTGCAATTCTAGCAAGTAAGTAAATCTGAGCTATACTGATGCCATGTAGATTAATGGTCAGAACATCTTTATGCCACAATAAATGTCATATCTGAGTAACCTCTCATAGGAGTAACATTAGTTATTGGTGATAGTGGATAAATAATACAAAGAAACTAAATGTTATAATGCCGTTTAACATCTGACCAAGCCTTCAAGCATATGTGGATCTACTAAAGCAGATCAATCACTTAAATTGCATCCTTTCTTTCTAATGAAAACTACTTCCTTGAGAGTTAGCTTTGTTTGGCAATCAACCAAAAACCTTCTGTTCTGCTGAGCACTTCTCTTCAAAGTCTAGTGCTTCACAATTAGCCTCCATGTCGTACTCTGCCCTATGGGACAGGTTTTAAAGTGATGAACTGATTCCTATGCCAGCAAGGCGGCCCATTATTTCAACATACATAATCTACTTAAAACCATTTTTTTACCTAAATGGGAGAAAATTTTAAGAAAAATGCTCTTGTTTTGCAGACTTTAACAAGCTCATGTGATTTAAAAAAAAAAAAAAATTAAGGGTACAACAATGATCCCCTTTTTCCCAAATTTAATAGGCAATATTTAAATACCCATTAGCTTAATCATTTCATCCTCATGAATTCAGTTATTTATGTTTTTCCCCAGTGTTTTTTTTTTTTTTTTTTGTGGTTTAATCATTTAACCAAAACCATTACCAACTTCTTGCAGTTTGCTTTTCCTGTCTTTGGCATTTACAACTCTGGCCAAAAGTCCCTGGTGTAAGGAAATGGGCACTTGTGCTCCGATATCCCCCTGATACCTCTTGAGGTTATTTTTAACGCTGTTCCAATTAAAGAGGTCTATCTGCCCTCAGGCTCAGTCTGAATGATAATGTTCATTCTGGTAGAAAGACAAAGAACAGACTTCAGCAGATATTCAGCCTCACAATCACAGGAATATCCCATCCCAAAAAAAAAGACAGTTAAAAAAATTTGTCTAAAACCAGAGTAATGCAAGAGTATTTGAATTACTTATATGATTTGTGTTACATGATCATATTACTTTTTTTCAAGTAACGTGTAAAGTAACACATTATTTTGTGTTATTTTTTTCTCTAATTTTCTACTTCTGCTCTACACATTATTTTTGTAACTCAGCGGTACTGTGCACATTTGTCTCTTTTTTTAGTTGTACATTGTTTTTTTTCAAAAAGTGTTCTTTAAATAAATTTGTGTCAATATAACAGACTTGTAAAATAACAGAATGCAATGCGTTAGGCCTACTTTTGATTTTCACAACAGTTGTTCAATTCGAATTAATGACACTCATAACACATCAATAGGGAAAAATACCCAACCAGTTTCATCCCCATATACTGGGAATTGCTGATCAAGGTTTATTTTTAGAAATAATCCCTGGATTATCACAGAGAGGGGTTTGCTATAATCCTTAAAGACTCCTTGATTTCACCAACATTATTATACCATGAATACTCGGCGTGGGTTTCCATAACTAGCAACTGCCAATATTTATTTGAAAAGAAAAAAAAATGTTGTGCAAAAATTTGTGTTGCTTCATTATTCACCATTTTGATGCTATTGGCAAATTTCAACCTGTCATTCATTACATTTTGACTCTTGACCAAGACACATGAAAGTGATTTTTGTTAAATTCTGTATATAATTTTTTATTGTTTACAAGCTAGTGACATTGCTCTAAAGTTGTTTATGATCATCTGAACAACCTAGCTTCATGACAATTCTAATAACATGTAGCTAAATGACTTGTTATGGAACTTGTTCTGCTTTTTTTGTTTTTCCTGCACCCTCTTACTCAGTAATTGGTAGCTCAGTCAAAAACTAATTCGTGATATTTATTCAAATGGCTCAAAGAAGTTAAGAAAAATGTTAAAAGCAAAGATCTGTGCACTGTTTCAAATGTACCGCTAAACGTGCTGAGTGTGACTGATAGGACGGAGCCTCCTAAAGACGCCACTGGTCGCATTAACATCGGTGCCATTGAGTTCACACAATATGAGGGAGCACAGCGGCAGCCAAACCCCAACTCCAGATTTTTCATATTGGTTTGTTTGATTGTTTTGCACCCGCATAATGTAACAGTAAACAATCTATTACAATCTACGAGAATGGAAGCCAGAAGCTGGCTTTTATTTTGACTGCCAGAATGTGGTGCGGGGAGCATTGACAATACGCCGTTCAGCTTTCAAATGGAAGATTGGCTTCTCCGACTCATTTCGGTGGATATGTTGTCGTTGTTTTTTTACACTGACCCTTTTTAATCGCCATGGATCTCTAGATTTGGATTATTGCACCTCTTCCGTCTCTTGAACTGTGAAAAGAAGACAGGCTACGCCGATCGACCAGGACGCAAGATTCTCTGCCTACCTCGACATTTTGCTACCAGGGATTTAAATAATCACGTGCTACAACAACGAAAAGATTTTTTTTTAAATAATCAGAATTGATGTGGCCCTCTGACCTTTAATGAATTCAACCTGGAGGGCAAAATGAATAGGGAAAGGCCGAAGAGAAATATCATTCAAAAGAAATTTGTAAGTGCAAATTTGACGTTTAATTCGTTGCGTGATCATCGAATTCAGCGGCTATACCGCCTCGTAATTTGCATTAATCACATTGCTGTTTTCCCTTATGTTATGTTATCGTCAGGTCTGCTGACAGAATTAGGTCAGATGTTATAAACGACCAGTGCATGAACCATCTTCTATTTGGATTGGAGGTTAAGGACAGACTGGCCGATGTGAATCGTAGCCTACTGTTGACCCAGATAATGCATTGGGCTTTTGAAGTGTTCCTTTGAAGTGTTATATTTCGCATTTCCGCCGTGTGTGTGTGTGTGTGTGTGACATGTCGCTATGTTGATTCCACTGTCAGTTTTGTCGTAGCTTCAGTCGATGAAGACGACCGTCTCGCGTCTAGCGTGGTCACTTTGTGGTCTTGTGCGTGCGGTGTGTGTGTGTGTTTGCGGTCATCTTTCTCTGTGTGTGTAGGTCGGTTTTTCAATGTCAGAAGAACTTAGCTTGTGAAAACATGTGCAGATGCTTGTTTTGTGGTAAGGATTGAGGTAGTTTACAGCCTTCTCTGATCTAACTACTGGTTAGATGGTGTTAGCAGGCTGACCTATTTATTGCCAAGATAGGCTGTTAAAACTGTCCCTCATACCCATTCTACAGTCACTTTATCAGATGTGTATAGGCTATGTAACAAAAATACTTATTTTTACTATAATTTAATATAAATAAACAAAATGCTAACTTGTTTTATTTCAGATAGTTGACATTTCTTATTTTCATTTAGTTTAACTTGTATTAAAATAATTGAATGAAATATGAATAAAAAACTAACCATATAGGCCAAAAATAGACACAAAGGAATAACAAAAATACCTAAACCTTAAACCAAGCCTACTAAACAAACCTACTCATAATTCATGTAATTGTTCATGTAAACTATTTACTACATAGTAGTAAAATGTTCAGGTCCTCATGCCATTTTATTGAACATGTTAAAGAAATGAGCATCACCATTTTATAGGTTGTATTCATTTTAACCTATTCATATTATTAATTGTAGTTTGATTTGTATTTTTAAGAATAGATGAGAAATAGTTTAGCCATTGAAGGCCTATTACTTAAATTCTTTATTAAATCTTTATGAAATCGTAAGATATTATTCATTTACATGAATTTTCACCTACATTTACATTTTTTAAATTAGCCTACCTCATATATCCTGGTTTTCCAAGACACTAGGAATCCTGGTTCTTCAAAGAAAAAACTGCTGATGAGGAGGTGAATTAAAGTAAAAAAAATATGGCTTTGGCTTATTTTAATGCTATACTTCTGTCTTGTTTTGAATAATTAATTCACCTTGAGCCCCCCTTGGAAACTTGCTGAGGCCCCCCTAGTGGGCCTTGAACCCCTGGTTGGAAACCACTGATCCTTACCCTTTGAATATAACCTTATCTGGGTAACATTATAATGTATCTTGATAATATGAAAAATGCAGGACAAAATGGCTGCTGGACAAAATCTTGACATACATTTCTAGATTTTAAAGCACATTCAGGCAAAAAAAGAAAAGAAATAAATCTATACAAAAATCAGTCGTTCTTTGAGGGTCATTCAGTTGCAGTCTGATGTCTTTGTTTACCTTGATTCTCTGATGTTTAATTGCCACATGGTTTGAAGTACAAGCTCTGAACATTTGGTTTGGTTGTATGAGGCTGGGAATGATCCATTTAAAGATGATAGCTTCTTTGTATGGAGCTCTCTGCCTTGGCTTTAGTTGGTATTTGCTGTAATTCATTGCAATCCGCTGGATTAAATACAGCTGTCGCTTAGATTTTTAGACATGTGAAGGCACAAGCACAAACATACTTTTAACACTTCATGCTGAAATCTGGGTTCAATATAAAGAGGTAATTCTATAAATAAGCTAAAAACCTGTACTGTGTTTGAAAAAGCAAGGCTATGAATATAAATAGCCTGTTGTGCACATTGAAACTAAGAATGTTGTACATTCTTGCTTCTCTCTTGCCAAACCGGATATGGTCGGTTAGTAAATACACAGGGATCAAGATATTTTTGATCAGGAGTGCATGAGTCAGCAGCAAAGTTGATATGCCTGTATTTACACAGTAACTCCTCTGTGACAGTTCCAATAATGAGATCATATCTCGTTCTTTATGTTTGAGAATATTACATAATGTCATTCGGAATTAGGTGAGGTTACAACACACACTATTACTGTGGATTATTGGAACATTACTGAAGTGAAGTGTAAATGAACAGGCTGTAGAAATTAGGAAGGCTGTAAGAAATCGTGTTTCACACTTTCTCCCAAGCACCATATGTGAAAACAAATCTATTTAATGTGACAACAGAGCAGAAATTGGCAGATATATATCACTCTGTGTTTACAGTGTGCACAGGCCTGCCTCACATGCCAGAGATGGCCATCTAAACTGGAAGCTCTTGTGTCCCACACATTTTCTTTGGCCTCAGCAGTCAGAGATATTTGAGCTCCTTCAGACTCATCCTTGGCATCAGTTTGCTTCACACAGTAATGGAGAACTAAAGCCCATGCTACACTTATCCTGTTTAGGGCAGCGCTACATTTACAAACACTATTCTTTTCAGGAGTTCACTTAAAATGTTTTTTAATCTAAAAAATGTTGACTGTTATTGACAGTTTTGAATTGCTGGGTTAATGGGGCATCAACTGGGAAGAACAAAGATAGGCTAGGTATTTTTTCTGTCACCACAAATTCATTTTCCTGTTATCTTGACAACAAAATTTGTTTTCTTAAAGGGTTAGTTCACCCAAAAATGACATTTCGGTTAGTAATTACTCACCCTTACGTTGTTCCAACCCTGAAAGACCTTCGTTCATCTTTGGAACACAAATTAAGATATTTTTGATTGAATCTGAGAGCTGTCTCACTCCTCCATAGGCTTCTATGTAACTGGAACTTGCCAACCCAGAAAGTTAGTAAAGACAATATTTTAAATAGTCCAAGTGACTACAGTGGCTCATCCATAAGTTCATCAAGTGATGAGAATACTTTTTGTGTGCGAAAAAATAATAATAATAATAATAATGACTTTATTCAACTATTCATTTTCTTCTGTGTGGTGAGTGAGTGAGTTCATGAGTGAGCCTACGTTCTGAAGTTCATATGATATATGATTGCTAGGGGTGTAGTAATTGTCAAACTGAACCGCAGAACTGCGATACAGCACTGTATGTATCGCAATACTTTCATGGTGTACCGAAGGCGTCCTGCACCCCTGCTGAGGTACGTACCGTCAGCTTTGTGTATCGTTATGATTGCTAATGTGGTTTGAAATAAAGGGCCCAAGGAAATACTTAGTCACATAAGTAATGAATAATACTTATGGACTACATGAACGTTCTGTGTAATTATTTTGTAGAGCTGATTGTTATTATATTAATTATAGTAACTAGCATTATGTGAAACGCTGACACTGTAAAATAGAGTGTTAAAAAAAGTTGAATTGGTAATCCAACATAGTAGCAAAATAATTGACATGCAGTTGGATGTTATTGATTTATGTACTGCTAAATGTACTGACTTAGAAGTGAATGTTTTCATGAATTTAAAGACTCAGGAGACACTGACACACACACACACACACACAGCATATTAGACATCACGTGACACTGCAGACTGAAATAATGGCTAAATTAATAATCACATATGTTAAATATTATTAGAACATATTACATATAATTAAATAAATATGACATTATTATTAAATGTATTTATTTAATAATAATAATCATTTGAATTTAATGAGTCATTTTTATGTGACACATCCATCTTTAATGTCAATACTGTTATTCCACTGAATAATATTCAGCTGTGATGAGTTGACAAAGGACCAAAGGAAATTATTAATATCACTTGTGTCGTCTCGTCTACTACTGTACAGCCTCATTGCATTTTATCTGTGCAATGAAATTTTGTGGCTGTGTTACAACTCTCAAATAAAACAAAGGATGATGTAAAAACCGCAGGAAGCTTGTAATGGCTGCTTCATCCCTCCGTCTCAGACATGTCCAGCTGTGCACTAATTGATGCAGTCATCCCGAACTCCAAAGAGACATATTGTATCAGAATGGGCTTGCTGAACTGGGTACAATTATTGCTGCAATTTTATTATCAGGAGATGTTTTTATCAAGAAAAGTGTCTGGCTTTTGTCTATTATTTTAATGTCTGTTTAATTTGTTTTCATCAGCGATAATACTATAGATGTCATAAGTAGTAATTTGATGTAGCCTATTTAAAGGCTTAAGAGATAGTTCACTTTGAAATTAATTTTTTATATGTTTTAGCTTACCTTGAGGGCATCCAATATGTAGGTGTCTTTGTTTCCATAGTATCTTCAATTTTGATATTTTAAGTTTAAACCGTTCTTGTCTGTCAGTCATATAATGGAGGTATATGGGGTCCACCTCAAAGAGCATGCACAGAGAAGTCCAAATTAAACATGATTTAATGACTCGACACGAAACGAACGGTTTGTGTGAGAAAACGAACAGTATTTATATTGTTTTTTCCTCTTGTAATCACAGTCACGTCTAAGTACTCTGAGGGCTAGGGCGCTTCTGTCTGTGCAAGTGCCAGCAAGCGCCGGAAAGCCCCGGAAGTGATCTCTCGCGTGTGTACGTCACTCATTGTTTACACAGAGATTTCAGAAGTCTTACCCTTCACTGTGAACATCTAAACATATTTAGATATACAGGAAATTGCAATGGAAGACCATTTCAATATATCAACAGACAACGTTGATTTTTTTTTTTTTTTCGCAACCACGCAAGAGATCACTTCCGGCGCTTTCTGGCACTTGCACAGACCGAAGCGTCCCTGCATTTAGATCATTTGGATGTGGCTGTGGTTACAAGAGGTAAACACAACATAAATACTGTTCGTTTTCTCACACCACACGTTTCGTGTCCTAGGCCATCAATGTGTACTTACATTTACGAGTCATTAAATCATGTTTA